ATGATTTACTCATCCTTCTGAAAACCATGAAACTTACAGTTTTAGGAGAACCATGAAATTTCTTTTTTTCACTTTTTTGGACTTACAGGATGAGACATGAAAAGTCTTTTCCTTTTATCATTTAACTTTTTCAGGCTATGTAATATTGAATTTAACAGTTTGTTTGTAAAATAAATTCAATAATTAAGTTTAGTCATTTAAATGCTTGCAGTATGTGTTTTAAAAATCTTTACTTATATGTAAATTTTTGAAAATTGAAAGTTATTTTGCTTGCTAATCGTATATAATATATGTATGTAATATGTATGAATATTACGATAAATAAGAGTCAAAATATAATTTTTTTTATTATAAACTAGAATTAGAATAATAGTTCGTTTAATTAAAGTATTTAATTTAATTATATATAAATATGTATATATAAATTACTTTTTCGTTGTTTTTTTAATTTAAAACATATCATATTTTATTATTTATTTACTATTTTGGATCAAATATATATTATTTTATTATATATCTTGAAAAATATAATAAAATATATTTAGTGGTTAAAAATATATTTTTATTAAATCCCATTTCTTTTAATCACTCAATTTTTCTCCATCTCTCTCATACAAAGCCTTGGTGGACATACAAACTATTTTTTTTTTTTAATTCCATCTGAATATAGCAAAATTAAGAATTTTATTTTTATATTTTTTTTAAAAATGAAATATATATATATCTATAGTATATTTACACCCTTTAAAATATTGTTTTAAGATTTTATAAATTCATGTTAGGCGGAAAAACTAACCGAACCAAACATGCCCTTAATGAAATTCAAATTTATCTGAATAATATAATTAAGCATTAACTTGAAAATCAAGCCTCCTTAACCCAAAACCCCTTGTAATAAGTGGCCAATAACCGGGCCGGGTTGAGTGGATCCAAACCCAAACCCAAACCCAAACCCATATTCTCTACTCGCAAACCCTAGCCACAGTTATCTCTCTCTCTCTCTCTCTCTCTCTCGCTTTTCCGCTATATAAAGTCCATTAAAACATGATGCAGTCTCCTTCAGTTCTCTGGTCGACAGATTCCAGCCGCCATGTCGAAGCGAGGTACTCTCTCTCGGACCGCCATTTAGTTGTTTTTTATATGTTTATGTTCTGATGTTCTGCGGGTGTATATGCATGGACTGTGTTGTTTTTTGCTGCATGTTTTTGTTGGCTTGTTTGCCGAGAAATGCGAAGAAACCGTAAGAGAAATAGATCTTTGCTAATGTCTTAATGATGCTTCATTTCTTTTGAAGTGTTGAATTGCCACTGCCTAATCGTGCTAATTGCTAAGCTGCCTGGATTTGCGTAAGTTTGGTTCACGAGAAGTTTTGTTTTACTAGGTTCTAGAGAGAGAGTTTCTTTTTTATTTCTCTATTCTTGGCTTTTGAACGATTTTGTTTGATTTATTTACGTTATATTTGTTTTCTTCAACTTGTCCGATAAGATCGTTTCTTTTGATTCTTTGAGTAATTGAAATAAATTGTCCCTAGCTAATTATCCTTGTGTAGAATCCTGTTATTGTGATTTGCGACTTATTACTATTGTTTTGGAAAATTTAAGAAACATAATTCAGCTAAGCATCATTTATGAATTAGATAACTGGAATTATTGGATTCTTCCTCCGTTCTTTTTTTAATCTCTGGATATGTTTGCCTGTGTTAGGGATCAGAGAGAGTAGTCTTTTTTTAATTCTATTTTCATGATCTTGTACAGGACGCGGAGGAACTGCTGGAAACAAGTTCCGGATGTCACTGGGTCTTCCAGTGGCAGCAACAGTGAACTGTGCTGACAATACCGGGGCCAAGAATCTCTACATTATTTCCGTGAAGGGTATCAAGGGTCGGCTCAACCGTTTGCCCTCAGCTTGTGTTGGTGATATGGTTATGGCTACTGTGAAGAAAGGGAAGCCTGATCTCCGGAAGAAGGTCTTGCCTGCTGTCATTGTGAGGCAGCGCAAGCCATGGCGCAGAAAGGATGGAGTCTACATGTACTTTGAAGGTAGGTATTGATTGTATATATACCATCTGAGTAGATGTAATTTTGGAGTACCATTTGAGTGTCTTCTGTTTGTTGTGTGAGGTTTGAGTTGAAGTTACAAGTTGCCAAAATAAATGTAATTTATATCTTTATATGTGCCTATGTGCTTCCTTCACTCACAGTCAGTTGTTGGGCATATGAGTTAGAGTACAATATTCTTTGAATAGAAATTCTAATGGCTATACAGTACCCTCATGTTGAATTATTTTATGGGAGAGAGCATTTTCTGATCCTTAATTTCCTAGGTGATTGGCATTCTCATACTCATAATATCTAACAAGTTCCTGATCTGTACAGATAACGCTGGTGTTATTGTCAATCCCAAGGGTGAAATGAAAGGTAACGGGATCTTTTTAGTGCATTGTCTTTATCTCTGATCATACACAATAGTTGCAAGATGATATTGGATTTGAATACCAAGATTTGCAAAATATCTTGGCTTATATTGCTGCTTCATAATAGTAACAATCTATTGATGGGTTTATGTTTACATGTTTGTATGTTAAGGGTGACAATAACCTATGAGGATGTTGTTGGATGCCTGATGGGTGCATGGTTTCATCAAATAGTCCATGATAGGGAGAACTCATACTGGATTTTTCTTACTTGGACATGCTTCAAATTTGATAGAGCTTGTACTTAATTTTCAGTTAACTAAAATGCAATTTTGAACTGGTGTAAATTGGTATTTAGCTTAATATAAGAATGCACTAGTTGAAATTGGAGTGATGTTGCTGCAATCCAAACAAAATGAGAATAGCAAAGCATCATGATGTTCTATGACTTAGCTATTACCCATTGATAACCTTTTGCTCCTGTGGATGGCAAGGAAATAGATGAAGGGCATTCTCCTTTATCACCATCAAGTAATATTCTCTCTCTTAGCTTATAGAGACAAGACTAGTGCACACCTCTTTTGTTACTCTCACTGTAGTTATTCATTCTAAGTGTTAGGTTTCATGTGCTGCAGCAGACATATTTAGAATTGTTCAATAAATTGTTCAACCTGTCTGTAACAAATTTGATTTTACTTTTATTATTTGTTTCTGCTTTGAATTGTCCCAGTAATTGATGAATCTTTTTATGCATGTCTATTCTATGTCGCGACAACAGGATCTGCTATTACTGGGCCAATCGGGAAAGAGTGTGCTGACTTGTGGCCAAGGATTGCTAGTGCGGCAAATGCAATTGTTTGAGTTGTTTTACATTTCTGTTCTGCTTATATTGCTGTTTTGGTATGTTTTTTCTTTTTTGACTTGGTTAGATAATTAGTTTAATTATCAAAAGAGGGTTAAATTTTCTCCAGCAAGACATTAGCAGTCTCCTTGACTATAATATGTATGCGACTTACATCTTCTTTTATTTCATTTCAAAACTTTATTTTGTCTACTGTTGAAATCTTGAAATTGCAACTGTTACAGAATAAAACATGGCCTTTATCTTAAGGTGTAAATTATGAGGAATGAAATTGTAATTTGCTTCTAATCTCAAGGGAGATGTCTGAGTGGTAAATTATTGGTTTGATATTTTTTAGTTGTAAAGTGGAATGGTTACATGGCCAGAGAGATGCTCTTAGTGTGGTTCACTGGGATGTGTGTTGGCTTAAGTTTGAGTCAGTTTTATAATTTGATACTTCAACCCAACTTAACTTGCACATGTATGTATGTATATAAGCTAAAATATTAAATTGAGTTATAATATAACTATTTTAAAATATTAAAATTGGTTTGTTTATTATTATTATTTTTTAATTTAGTTTTTGTATTTTGAAAAAAAAAAAATTTGATTTGATTTTTGGTTATTAAATGTACTACACTAATATCATTAATGGAAGTTTATGGGGGAGATAGAATAGATATTCTGATTGAGTTAATAGTCTACAATTAACTGCTGAGTGTTTGATGATGAACGTCTAATATGAACATTTAATTGATGACTTGGTTTATTAAAATATAAAAAATATATGATATGATGAGTTTTAAAATCTGAAAATGCACTAATTGACTCTTTTATTAAAATCTAAAAATCCACTAATTGATTTGGTTTGATCAAAAAATATATATATACATCAGTTTGAACCCTAAGCTCCCAAAATTAAACCATTTCTCTCTCTCTCTCTCTCTCTCTCTCTCCAACTTCCATTGACATGAACTAGTT